TATTTACTTTAACTGCTGTTCAAGGAATAGTCACTGGAAATAGTGGTAATCAAATTAGTAGTTTGAATACTGCTGAAGAATTCCAAGGTAAGGCGATCACTGAAATTGGTAGAATTGGAGCAGAAGTTGCAACAGGTACTGATATTATTCCGAATAGAACATGAAATGAAAATTGGTCTATAGCTGATGCGAATCTGTAGATAATACAGAAGTAGCGCCTAATGCTGGAGGTGGTTTTCCTGCTGTTACTATTGCTTCTGGTATTAAGCTTGATCAACTTTTATACCTGTTTAGAATTGCTTATATAACAGTTGAATACTTAAAACAAATGGCAGTTTTTGGTCAACTTATGCAGGGCGATATGTCAATTGAGCAATTTTTTTGCAAACATTAAAAAAATTGGTAAAGTAGCTGAAATGACTCCTAAACAGCAAAAAGAGCAATTTATTCATGATCTGTCTCCGATGAATCAATATAATATTCAAATGATGGCCAAATTCTATGATACACAGGATAATATTACACAAGCTCTAACTGAAGCAGAAAAATATACATTATCTCAAAAGGGTGCAACATCTTCTTTTCCAATTTTTCTGGTGGCCAATCTATATACAGATACTAACAGATCAGGAATGACTAGAAATGAAATCGAAAGCTTGGTAAAAAATACAATAGTATCTTCAGAACCTCAACAGCCTTAACAGCCTTAACAAATGACATCATTACAATTCCAACTACAACCTGCAGGAATACATAAAAATTTACGAGATGAGAATATAGGCAGATTTTTATCATGGATTATGGAGAAACCCAGAATTTGTTCCTGTTCCTAATTCTACTTTACCACCAAGCCAAGAAAAAAGGTTGAAGTTAATTCTGATGATGAACTTGCTGAGCTCACAAAAAAACAGTTAAACTTACATTTGATTAGAACCATTAAAAAGGTCATAAAATCACAACATAAATGTTCTATCTGTGATAAGACTGGGCATAATTCTCGCAAATGCTCTCAAAAGAAAAAAAAACAAGAAGACTAAAAAAGGTAAGGTTAATCTCATTACTTTAGATTTGGCCTCAGATTCGAATTCTGATTCTTCTTCTGATACTTCATTTAGTAATAATTCTGATTCTGATTCAAGTTCTTCTGATTCTTCTGATTCTGAAGGTGAGCTTAATGTTAATATGGCTAAAATAAAAAAAAAGTAAAGCGGAAGTCAAGCTCTAAGAAATCTAGTTCTAAGAAATCACCATCTAAGAAATGCTCTAAGAAAAAAACAAGTCCAATAGTATAATACCTTTAGCTAAATCTGCTGAACAGGTTGATAAAGTAGATTCTGAGAAGCTAACAAATAGATTTGGTAAGACTAAATGAAGCACTTTGGAATAAACTATTCGTAAAATTCTCTAAAGTGAACTTAATTTAATTTTTCTGCATTGATTTCTCAAGACTCTGTTTCCGATTCCAATAAATCTAATATACCAAAACAAGTGCCTTTTATTCAGGATAAGACAGAGTTTCAGAGTGATAAGACTTCAATTACCAAACACATTTTATCAGACCTAGAGGAGGAAGAACATTTGGAGGATCCAATGGAAATTGACTTTATTCAGAAAAAGGATATTGCAATGGTAAAATGTAAAATCAAACGCATGATGATTCCAGGTGCTGTGGTTGATCCTGATGCTAATTTCACAATTATGACTAATGATATAGCCAAATGACTAAAACTAAAAATTGATATGAGTGAAAAACATAACCTTAAAGGTATTACTACAGTCCCTATAGAGTTGCTTGGTATAACTAGAAATGCGCCTGTATATTTTGCTTCTGGATGTATTATATATTCTGATTTCACAATAATCAAAAATCATTTAGGAAAGCCGATGCTAATTTTGCTAAACACACTTCTTGATAAATATAATTGTGATTTGCTTGCATCAAAACAGGAGTTGAGACTAGTGTGTAATAGTAAGGAATTTTTTATTCCAATCAATATGCATAAGGTCAAGAATAAGCTTGAGGTAAACTGCATGACTACTACTCCTGAATGTGATGCTTTCTCAACTTCAGATAGAATTTCGCAAGACTTGCAGAACCTAAGTGAGGATGATAATGTATTAAAAAAAGTGAGTTATGAAAGTATGGCAACTCATATGAAAAAGCTTGAAAAGGCATTATTTATTAGTATTCAATCAAATTGGAAATTATGGAACATTATAATAATCTTTGCGAGTGATATGAATAATGTTAAGGTCAAGTTTTTAATTTTTGTTCAAGTGCACAACCTTTTTCACCTTTTTCACAGCCTTTTTCATTTTATTTTGTGTCTTCATAAACACTTTCAGAGCATCTTCAGAATCTTGCAGAATAATGGGCAATAGACTGGAGGATAACGGTATCTTTGATACTTGTTCTTTTTTGTCTCTAATACCCAACCTACCCTTTTTGATAAATCTTTATTATCAGAAATATGAACTGACTTGAACTTGGATTTCTTTTTGTCTGCCTACGTTTGTATGGAATCACTAGAGAAGAAACAAGAATTATGTGAAAATTTCTGATTATCATTTGAATTCTGATCAGAAGGCACTTCACGTGAATGAAAAAGAGGATCAGAAGATCTAATATCTTATATAGCATAATCAGGTTAGCTCAATGCATGTTTGTGCCAAATTTTATAAATTCATTTTGTTGTAATATTATGTTTCTTAGCCATCACTATTACAGCATTTTTAACTTTTTCACAGGAATTGCGAATTTCCTCAAGTGCTTCAGATGATAAAATAGTAGCATTTGCACTATAATATTCTTTACATAGATGTTCCATTTTATTGTAAAATAAAATCCATGAATAATTGTTAATTTTTACTGATTATTATCGAGAATTATTCAAGAATTCTAATTGATTTTTTTTGATAATAGTTGCATATTTTTGATAACTTTCGAAAAAGACCAGTTTTTATTAAATATTTTTCCCTTTTTCTCATAAATTTGAAAAGGTTCGATCATAGACCTTCAGAAGAAAGCTTACCATATTTTCTTAACCTGAAAGAAAAAAGGTTTGGTCATCTTCCACAGTGCCGAAGGTATAAGAAAGGGAAAATATGAATATTACAAATTTTTCAAAAATTATCAGCTAGAAAGTTTAGTATATAAATCATATATATTTTCGATTTCTTTGTCCCAATCAATCTTCTGAGATGAATAGATTGAATTTGTAATAAATTTCCATTTTCAGTAGGTTCAGGAGGCATTTGATTATTAACTATATCCTTATATCTTTTCATGTCAATATAATACTTTTTACACATAATGCGACCTACATTTGAAATATTTTTTGAGGCATTTCTAATTTCTTTGATAGCTTCAGGCAATAATAGAGTAGCATCTGATCTTAAAAATCTTCTACGCATTTTTAATAATCATCGGTAATATTTAATATCTATTTTGTAGAATATAATTTTCTAGTCATTATCCAGAAACTTTACCAAAAAATGTGAGGTAACCAATTACATAAATCATAATATATAATCTGTAAAATATTTTTTATATCATCAAAGTATATACGAAAGTAGGTCATGACCAATGTGCATATTATGAAAGATCTCAGCTCAGATCATCGCCTCGGTAGTGCCTGTAAAATGGAGCTTAAGAAGGCATTGCGCATTAGTATCAAATCTGTTACTGACCTTACTAATAATACAAAAACCTGCAGGACATATGTTTAGAGCGAGAAAAGGAGTTTTAGCGATTCCATGCTAATATCGGAAATAAGGTTAGCCAGCTAAATAATGCAAATACTAAGCTTAGATCCCAATTTACTTTTAAACAAAAGTCTCATTCTGAGAGTTAATATGAACATGAAGCAGAATGAGCCAATTATTCTGCCGAAATCAAATCTCTCAAATCAAATATTAAATACTAAAGAGAGAGGTAACTTTGACGTAGAAAGCTTTGTCCGCTGATAAGGTTAAGATACTTTCTCTTGAAGCTAAGGTAGTTGAATTAGAATTAAGCTCATCTGATCCTAAAAAGATCGATTCTCTCAGGCTTGAATTGGAACGAGTAAAGGAGGACCTTAATTCAAAAGAATATACAATAGAATATATGGAAAAGGGGAAAGAGTCATCAGATAGCATATACAAATAGAAAATAGATGTTTTGAGAAAGACGCGATTAAATTCAATGGAGGAAAATTCTTGTCTCTGGAAGATAATCTCAAAAAAGAGCTGAGAGGTACTTTACATGATAAGATAGCAGATCTCTCTAACCCCTCACCTTCCTTTATGAATGATTCATCACAAAAACTACCAGGCTAGGTCAGTGATAATTTAAGACCTCTTGTCTATGAGCTTGGTCTTGAAGATAAAGTTACGAAACTTGATAAAGAATATGCTAAGGAAAATATTTTAAAGGCTTTGTACGAGCTATTACTTCAGATTAAAGTAGTTTCAAGAAGCCAGACAGATACTCTACCCAATCAATCTGTTCATAGTTGACCAGCACATTCTGAAAAGTATATTTTGAGTGAAGGGGTTATGAAGCAATCAGGTGATACAGAAGTAGTGCTACCAGCCTAAGTAATGCCTCTAGCACTAGCTATCTCTGTCGTTGCATATTTCTTGATATCACCGTTGATATACTTACTTTACTATTTCTTGCAATTATATGGATCGTTGGAAAAAAAAATATGGAATTCATGGAAAAAAAGTAATATTGAGTATTCTCATAACTGGAAGTATTTTTTATCATCTTCGGAAATTTCTGAGGCCAGACTGTATGATCAGAGGCTGAAAGTTTGAAATGATCATCCTAGGCCAGAAGTTCGAAGATAGGAATTGAAGTTAGCTGGTATTATTACACGAGAAAAAATGTAAATAATATTATGAAAAGCGTTTTAACGACTAAGTTTTCTTAGCTGAAATTGCCACATTCCGCTAAGAATACTTAAAAAGTTTATTGTAAAGTTTTTATATATTTTTTAAGCTGTCTTGTAGCCTCATTCTTGAGTGTTTGTCAATCTTTTTTTTCTCACATCTGGATCCTTGATCTGCATTATTTTATGTGATGAGACTGGTCGATAGCTATCATTCTCATTGATAAAGCGTGCGCATATTACAACTGTAGTGTCTAAATAATAATTGATATCTATTTTCATGTTTTGCTCTTTTGTTATATTTGATAGATATTTCATATAATCTCCAATTCTATACGGTATTAACCTATCTTTCTCATCACGAAGATGGGGACCCTTTATAACGACATAGCTAAACTGTTCACCAGAATCAGGAATTCTCTCATTTCTCTCTCTCATACATTTCATAAATCGATTATTGCAGAGATTTTCTTTCTTGGGCCTCTATGTCCACATCACAATAAATTCATTGAAATCCCATTTCTTGTTTCCTGCTTCTCTAAAAGTATCTTTAACAATTATATGAATTAAGCGCATATTATTTATATCTATAGCCACTCTCATTATCTTCTCTCTGATGAATTTAAGAAGCTGGAATTTACTTTGCTTTACAGTATCTATCCCTTTCATGAAAAGATTTTTCAGTTTAAAGTTTACTACATCTTCATGCTCAACCCCAAAGTACTTCTTTTTACCAGTAAAGCAGATGGGAAATAATATCTCTTCATATGCCATCTTTAGATAAAATGTTTCACTTTTTATCCTAAGATAAGTATTTATTTAATTGCGTAACTTTCTCAGTAATTTTAACCATTTCAGTCCAGTACGCTCTTTTGGAAAGTTTTTCTCTAAAGAAGGCTTCATTGCATTTTTCATAATACCTATCTGGGCAGATGAGATACAAAGAATCGGTATTCTCATATTTTATCCTAAACCCTTTCTTTGATATGAATTTAGTAACAAGGTTAAGGTTGTATTTTTTCGCCATAGTAGTTTCACAGGCTAATTCACAAAGAAAAATTGGAGATAGTGAGTTTCCAGCTTCTCCATAAAAAGTGTTTATGTATACCTTCAAAGCTTTTTGCTTTGAATCCCAATAATCGTAATCAAAGCATACAGATAAATATTCTAAATTTAACCTTTCTGGTATCCTTTTACCACTTTCTTTAGCTGAACTTATCATCTTTTCAAGATGTTGCTTTTTCTTTCCTAGTGGGCTAGACGTGCTTTAAGTTTCAATCTCTTGTTAAATAAATCTTCCAATACTGTCAGATATAGGCCTTTCTTTTCTGTTTGGTTATCACGCATCAAGCTTGAACAATATGATTATTAAACGAAAACTCAATCTTATGCAAGTTATTTTCATTATTTTGTGTAATATCAACATCTTTGGATCAAATATAAATTTTTCTGGGGAGAGGTTATATGTCATAATAATACTAGGATATAATGAAGCAAAATCCAATCCCATTACAGGTCTTCCACTTTTAATCACTTTTTTAGGTGGAAATATGTACACACCAGAATATTTCACTTTTTCTATATTTTCAGGAACCCTTGTACTTATTACCATATCTCGTTTGATAGCATATGCTCTGAGAAGGTTCTATACCCTCATTCCATTTGCGCGATAGTGTGTATCAAAAAGAAAAACATAAGCTATAAAGGCAACTTTTCTATAATCATTTATTATACAGTCCCTAGTGAAAAGAATGGCGGTGAAAGACTGCATCTATTTTAGGCTGTAGTTTCAGTACTTTCCAGATTTAGGCATTTGTTTATATGCACAAATCGAACATTGGAACCTGAATTAAAAAGGTAAGTTAAAAAAATAAGTTTGTTATTTGTTTTTATTTTGATTTCCTTTCTGAAACTATGCCAAGCTCTTTAATAATACAAAGAAATTCTGTTAAGTCACTTTAGGACCAAAAAGTGCGTAATGCAAAGAAAATTTCTAATCGATTGTGCATTCCTTTATGCACATGTGAATGATATGTCAGTTTACTAAATAAAACTGGCAAAATTTCTATTGGTCACTCTTCTGGCTATCCAAGAAAATTGGCTTCAAATCAACGCCACTATATTGGAAAATTCTGTAACATAATCATTTTACTACAGCAGGTGAACTTAAGGTAAAATTGGAAGAAAAAGATCCCAACCTTGATGTCAGTAAACGTATGATACATTGTGAGCTCAACAATCTTGGATATATTTCTGTTCTTCCAAGAAAGATTCCTCTCTTGACCCAAAAAGCGAAGGAATTTCATTTGCCTTGAACACGTAATCATTCGCAATACAACTGGAAAAAAGTTGTTTTTTCTGATGAAACAACACTTTAGATATTTAGAAATACCATGTGTGTATGGTCTCATAATGCAAACCAATTGCCTCTATGGTAAAGCACCCATTCAGGGTTCATGTTTGGGCAGCGATTAGTACTAAAGAAAAAATCGGCATTCATTTGTTTACTGAAAATTTGGATTGTCATTTGTATCGAAAAATCTTAGACGACTATCTGTATAACAACACAGATATGTTATACAGACACGGCTGAGTCTTCTAATAAGATAATAACCTAAAACACATCTCATACAATATTTAAGGGGACTTGAAAAAACATCTTTCAGGACAAGTTCTTTTTTGGCCTTCATATAGCCAGACTTGAACCCTATTGAAAATCTATAGGCTGTATTAAAGGGAAAGGTAGAGAAAAAGATCAAGTATTTAGTAGCAAAAAAAAAACATTACCTGCGATGTATTTCTTAATACAATCTAGCAAGAATGAGACAATCTTGATGACGCCATGTTACTTCAGTATATCGAGAGCATGCCAAGCTGGATTAAAGCATGTATCAATGCAGAAGGAGGTTATACCAAATATTAATTAATAATATAAAAGTTGTTGTTAATATTGTTTTTATAAATAATAAAAAAAAATATACATTAAAATAAAGTTTGTATATACCGTCGAAATATGGGGTGAGTGCTGGGAAAATGGACCAAATTGATTTTTTTTTTAAAAAAAGTTCTTAAGTAAAATAGATGTAGATTTGGTCATCTGATTCAGATCATTTGTTATTTCAAAAAAAATTTTTTTGTCGATTTAGTCCTTTTTTCCAGCATTCATCCCATATGTTTCCGCCATTCTTTTTACCAGGGACTGTACTTTGGTTTACTAAAAGCTCTTGACAATGTAGTATATCTATAATACAATAATGTGCTACTTTACGCATATTTCTCGCAGTTGTTGAAGAAGGGCTTTTTTTACCTCTGAATAGATTTTCACATTTTATCATATAGCATATTGGCCTTACTGTCAAGACCACACTTTTGTAAGAAAAATTTAAGTGAACTTTTCTTTTCGACTTCAGAACAAGAAAAACGTTTTTTGAGACACACTCAGACGTCAATTGGTACGCAACCTGGCAGTTTAAGGAAGCTAGAAGTAATCATCTTCCACACTAATTTTGATTTTAATTGGACTACTCATATATTCTTTCTCCTCCAGATCCTCTTCACCTTACTCGAGAGCCTTAACAGGATACTTTTTCACGAAATCATTTTCAGGTTTTACTTCTATCTTTCCACAATATTTTTATTTTATAATTTTTTTCTTTGTTTCAAACTTTTCTGTCATTCGCTTCCACATCTATTCAAGTATATTGAGATGATATGCTCTTTCTATAATAAAATGCCAATCATAGTCAGAATCATTAAATCCAACTTAAATGTTAGAAGTAAATGCTTGCCAGCAGAGAGCAAATGCTTTTAGCAAATTTACCTGATTTCTGCATATGATTGTAATCCATTGTGGGTTTGACGTAGTTTTAAAATCGACAAGACAGATTTGTTTTAATGGTTTTGGACTATCTTTCCAATATAATGTTATACAAATCATAAAGACCTTGTTTTTCTGTTCAAGAACTTCTGCAAATTCACCTAATTCTTATGATTGCGTCTTTATATCTCATGTGAAGACAAGAGTATGATCCTATAGGAGAGCTGAAATAGGGAACCAGTCGCTTATTATTGTAAGATCTTTTAGTAGACAGAAATCTTTATAAATACGTAGAATTCATACAGACAAAGTGAGGTGGTCCGCTTGCCTTTCTTGCATATATATTTGTTTATTGTAGACCATCTAGAGAGTTGAATACCATTTTCTCAGGCTACCTTACAGAGAAATGAGTATAAATCATCTGAAGCAATTTTGAAGTTATTATTTTGAATAGCCTTAATAGCAGTTTTTTTACCCCAGTACTGTTTGTATAAATTCGCAAATATAACTTTTTTTTATATGATAACCACGAAAAGGAAATGCCTTAATATGCTCTACTAAAATGTCTTCACACTACAGATAAAATATCCTTATTTTTGTTTCGCATTCATCAGGAGATTCATTATCTAGCACAAGAATGTCAAAGAATACCCGAATGTCTTTAAGAGTTACTAGTATAATTGCTTGACGAAACCTCAGAGTATTGACAACTGTCGAATGTCGAAACCTATTTAGACGTTTTGACTTTTTATTTTTA